AGGATGCTCAAGCCTACTGGGCTGGGGCATCAGCGGGTTCCTGGTGACCTGTGAGAGACCTCTTCCCTTAGAGCCAGGAGGTGATGCGAGATTTCAGAGAGATCACCGATGAAAGGGGGCCACAGTTACAACTTGGTCTTGCTAGAGGTTTGAGAAGGAAAGAGAAGCAGCTTAGGGATGGAGACCAGGCAAGAGGAGAACGTTTTTACCAATAAAAGAGTGTATTTATCAAAATAAGATAAAGAAACAATGAGGGGAGGGAGGAAAGGGGGAGGCGGTTATGTGAGAAAGCCACAATCTTGAGGTGGAAATGGGACCAATAAACAGAGGTGGGGAGGGGAAGAGGAGGGATGAAGACTCAGAGACCATCTTCTGGGGTGAGGAGGGCCGAGAAACATCAATTTTAAAGGAGGAAAGACAGGCATCTGTTAGCCCATCTTCCTTCCTTCAGGGCCTGGCCTGAGCCGACTTCTCTTCCTGACACTCTTCCCACAGCCCTTTGCGAGGCTGGCCCTCCGTCGTATTTTAGGTTAAACAGCTCCCCCCTGTCCACCCTCGAGGGTCCCCTCCGTCTGTAATCCTCTATCGCCGCTTCTTCTCTGTTTTCTTCTTGGTGCCTCCCGATGCATGGATAGGTGTTTATGACTCTGTTCCTTTGCTGGGGTATCATCTTTCTTGTTTGTGTATGTGTGTGAGTGTTTCCTGTCTCCAAGTTTAGATTCTAAGCACCTTCAGACTGAGGACCATCTGTCTCCATCCCCACTGTCACCCCAGAGCCCAGCTCAGGTACTGTCACGCCATAGGTGCTCAATAAATGCATGTTAATTGGAAGAAAATGACGGGAAGGCAGAGGAATGCATCTGTGACCTACTCCGTCTTCTTAGAAGAGTTTTAATAAGAACAATAATGAAAATAAAATAAGAATAGCGTCTGCCGGGCTGTTGAGATGTGTTCACGATCTCTATTACTCTCCACAGTTCACTCATTCTATGGAGTGAGGAAGCTCGGTTATAAATACTCCACTAGCGAAGGTGGAACTAGGGATCACACCAAAGCCTGTGTTCTTTTTCGCTATCTCATTTTTTGACAGTATTAGATCAAAGAGGCATTTCTGGCAAGAAAACAGAGAGGCTAGATCCGTTTCTCCCACCCCCTCTGCCAAGTGGTGGGTAGGTTCTGCACATCCTCTCCCCACTCCTGCCCGAATTTCCCCATTCTGGACGTGGCTGTGTGGAGCCCTGCATATGCCAGGGTATTTTACAAGAGGAGATGTCTAGGGAAATGACTAAATTTCCCATTCACTTGTCAGTCCACTCTGGTCATGTGGAGAAGACGGCAGGTAAAGAATTCTCTTCGCCTCTGGATTATTCGAAACCCCAAGGAGAGGCAGGCTCTCCCCACTTACCCCTAGCTTCTTTCCTGGCATTTTCTGCAGGAACTCAATGGCGGGAGAAGTGGGGAGAAGGTGAGGCTCTGAGGCTGCCCCGATACAAAGCCCACAGTGACACCTTGAGCCATTGTCCCCAGAGCCACCAGCCGAGACCCTGGAGGCAGACAGGCCTGTGAGTATGGTGCCCCCTCAGGCCCCAGCCCACCCTGGGGCCCTGGACTGAGGCTCAGAGCAGGAGGGAAAGCAAAGGAGAGGCTGTCTGTTAAGTCTATCTTCGCACCTCTCACTTGTGCGTGTTTCCAGCAGAAACCAGGCTCCCAGCCTTCTGCACAACCTGAACTTCCTGAAAAGCTTCTGGAAACATTCAAAGCATTAGGGCCAAACCCTCCTAGAATGAGAGGGTAAGAATCAAGTCAGATGGGACAACCCCAGGCCCCTGTGCACATTCCCTTTGTCCTGACTTGGCTTCGTACCTCCTTCTCTTAGCTCTGCCAGGTGACGTTTCGGGTGTCTGTCTGGAGTCAGGTGTAGTGTCCCAGGTACGATGACCATCTGGCCCTGCTCTTTGCTTCTCTTCTGGGTTGGCTCCTGTTACACTAAGCTCCAGTTTTGGCTCAGCTCAGGCTCTGACCCCTACCCCACCCCTTGCCCCAAGTTCCCAATTTGGAGACAATCTGTCAGATAGAGCCTGGCTCAAACCCAGCCTCCAGCCCCCTCCTCGCTGTACATTCTTGGATATGATGCTTTACTCTCTAAGCAAGATGGGAATAATAAAAAACGCCAACCTCGTAGGGTTGTGATGGAGGTGAAAGGAGAAAATCCGCAGCAAGGGCTTGCCCCGTGATTGCCGTGTGCTGAGTACCCAGGCAGTGTTAACTGTGGTGATGAGCACTCCTCTTGGCTCTGTCCATCCCAGCAGTCCCTCCCAAGTCCCCTTTCAGGCACTCGATTCTAGCATCCACCTGCACACAGCATTGGGAGCCGCCATCCTCCCTATGCCCATCCCCACTCTACCCTCCACCTACTACAAGCTACAGTGACATTTGTTGAGTGAAGTCATTTTCCATGCCCTAAATCAACAGGGCTGGGGTTCATTTTCTTCCACCCTGAGCACCATCTCTGGGATTTTCTCCGAGGCAATCAGGAGTTGGCTCACGGGAGGACCCAGCCTCCATCCCCGATTTCTCCCCAGAACCTTGAACTCCTACAGAACACGGAGTGGGGCTTGGGGATAGAGGCCACCACTGACACCCGAAGACACTGGGGCTGAGTATCCTTCCAGAGGCAGGGCTGGCTTCATCCTATCAATCTATTCTATCAGTTGGTGATTCAATCAGCAAGCCCTAGACAGCAGCCTCACATCGTGTCATAGGTGTCACCTCTCAAATTTCCTTTGCCAGCACTTTCATCTTCTCAGCATTGCCGGGGGAAAGAACTGTGCTCCTGTATGTTCCTCTTCTGCTTGTGGTTGACTTTATCCATAAGCATCTTGTCAGTTGTCACTGAGAAGGAGCAAGAAGCTAGTGCCCCCACCACTCCTTGCATACCCTCAGGTCCTGCTGGCTTGCTGTACCTGGCATAAGAGGGGCTTCTGAGTCAGGGAAGTTCATGGAGAAGGTGACGTGAGCTGAGTTTTGCTGCCTGAGTAGGAGTGAGTCTAGTGATCTCAAACTCAAATGCCTTCAGGGTCGGAGCAGGTCACAAAATAAATGAAACAGCCCAGTGTAAGACAATAGGGAGCGGTGTGGACTGTGGGAAAATGTAGCGTATATCCCCCAAAATATGAGGCACGGCCACTTAGCAACTCCACCAGTTACAATGATTCAGTGTTGCCAGTTCTTCCGACTATTCAAAAGAAGCCAGAAATTCGAATATTTTATCATTTTTAAATATTGGCCTCTGATTCTAAAAAAGTTGAGCATATGCAAGCCCACCAAATACATATTCGGGCCAGATTTGACCTGGGGCTGGCAGTTCATAAACTCTGAATTAAGGAAATGAAAAGTAGAATCAGGGATTCCTGAGAGAGAGCATCATGTTCAAAGACAGTCTTGTTGTGATCTGACTCACATTCCAGAAACCACCCTTTGCTTGGTGAGTTAGCTGGTGGATGTGTAGGAAGGTGGAAGAGGACAGAGAGGGCCAGCTCAGAAAGGGTCCTTTGTGCTGTGTTGAGGTGTCCGCACTTTATTTTGAAAGCTATGGGGACCTGTGTGGGAACCCCGGAGAGTCTCAAGGAGGCTGTGCCCCATTCCACTTGGCATTTCAGAAAGCTGGGTCCCACGTGGGAGGGGTTGGCTGACGGGAGATAAGGCAGAGGTCCCAGCAGTGCTCCAGAGTGAAGGCTCCTGCTCTCCTCAGGTGGTAAAATCTGAGGGCTGGGTGGTCTTGGAAGGGAGACCCTGGTGAGAGGGAGTGGGGAGTGTTGACACCACCCTGATTCTGAATAGCGTGGTGGGGTGCCGTTCCCAGAGAGAACACTGGGAACGAGTGGGACGGAGAGTGAGTTCTGGTCAGGTTTGAGGTCTGTGTGGAGGGATCCAGGATGTTCTATGGTTCTGGAGCCAGAAGTGAGGTGTGTCTGAAGGTACATCAGGGCATCATCGGCATAGAGATGAACAATGGAAGTTGAAGTTTCACGAGGGCTCAGGGTGGGATCTGAGCAGCCCCAGCATCTATGGGGAGGACAAATGAGGAAGGGCTGGGAGGAGGTAGGGGAAAGGTTCAAAGAAAACCTGGAGAAGTGTTGCCACTGATGGAGGAGGAAGGAGTCCACGGTCTAAGGGCTATTTTGAGGTCTTACTCAGTTCATCGGCAGAGCAGAGAGAACCGACCTGCTCAAGGACCAGGCCATACTGCGAGGGTCCAGCGTCCACACGAGAGTCCCATTTCTCCTGGCCCTCTGCTCCGGACGGCCCCTGGCACACCATCAGTGAGAGCAGCAGCAGCGAGGATCATGCTTCTGCCAGGATTAACACAATCCGTTTTCTTCCATCCACTGCTCCTGACCTCTCCCTAATGGACTGTGCTGTTGAAAGGGAACTTCCCCAGGACAGCTGTTCCAAGGGGCTCAGCAGAGTCCACACCCAGCAGTGGTTTGTTCTGATCCGGAGGGCCGTAGCCATCACCGTAACTAACAATGCCGCAGCTGACATCATGTCTGTCTGTGCTTCTCACTGTAGTCCCACAGCAGCACCCGCTTTGCAGAGAAGGACATCAAGACCAGGAGAGGCCTTGGGCTGCAAAGCTAGAACCCATCAGGAGCCAGAACTCCGGTCCTCTAACTGATGGTCCAGCCATCCTTCCAGATGACGCGGACGCTCCACGACCAGTGACCGCTGGGCGGAGGGAGCGGGTGTTCATCCAGGATTGGGCAGGGTGGAGAAGGGACACATCAAACCCCCGGAAGAAAGACGACTTCAAAGTCCTCCCCCACCAGGGTGCCCTCCAGGAGTTTTCTTGGGAAAAGGCTGCAGCTGACGTTAATGGGACGCTGTGTCTGAACGTGGGTCTATCAAGAAGTGAATGAAAGAAAGGGAAGAAAGGCTGGCTTAAGCCAGAGAGGCCTTTCAAGTCCCGGCGAGGTGAGTCAAGAGCAGAGCGCGGTCCGTTGGATGGGCGGTGCTCCGTCTCTTTAAAGAACACGGATTTATCCAGACCATGCGGCATGAATGAAATGAGTTTTCAGGGCTGACAACCTCTCAGTTAAGGTTTTGCGGCAGTATATTTCTAATACAATAAAAAAAGGGAAAAACGACAGCCAAGGTTAACACTGTGTCTGCAGCAGGAGGCCCAGTGACTGTCAAAAGTGGACACTAAGTAACTGGCCCATGGAGGCACTATGGTTTGAATGCTTGTGTCCCCCCAGATTCACATGTTGGAGCCCTACTGCCCAATGAGATGGTAATTGGTGGTGGGGCCTTTAGGAAGTGATCAGGTCATGAGGGTGGAGCCCTCATGAATGGGATTAGCGCCCTCATAAAAGAGGCCCCACAGAAATCCCTGGCCCTTTCCACCAGGTGAGGTCACAGTGAAAAGTCTGCAGCTCCCAAGAGGGCCGTCGCCCGACCATGTGGGCATCCTGATCTCGGACTTGCAGCCTCCAGAACGGTGAGCAATAAATTTCTGTTGATTAAGCCACCCAGGCTGTGGTATTGTGTTCCAACAGCCCGAACAGACTAAGACAGGAGGATTGGGTGAATTTTCATATAAAACTGCTCCTAAGCATAGCTTTTAATGGCAGGATCACATTTATCCTTATCGATGTGGTGCAAGTGCAGGATCTAACTAGAATATTTTCCCCGTTAGCTCACCAACTATCTCACAACTGCGTGTCGAGTAGCCTTTGCTTTCTCTTAATTCTCTGGCGCCACCTTGACTGTATGTTAAATCCTTACATGCAGCGGGCAAAGGACGGGGCGCCAGGGGTCAGCTGTCTGCAGACGCACGAGGTTTGGCTACACACAGACCACCCTCTGCCAGTTTGTTCACTGGGTGCCCTGGGGCAAATCACTTAACCATTTTGGGCCTGAGGGCCCTATTTCTAAAACTGAGTAAGAAATACGAAAATTAAAATGCAGCCGGTACAGTGCCTGGCACAAGATGGGCCTCAAACAAATGAAGTTGTTAATATTTTTCACTGGTCTTCGAATCTGCATCCCCTTCCTCGGGATGAGTTCTGTCAACACATCCGTCAGGGACAAGCATTGTCACCTGGGATGAAGGTATCATTCTTAAGGAGTAATTTTTATGGGAGGGAGGGAGGATGTTTCATTTGGGGGAAAAGTATATTCAGCAATATTTTGTATTTGGAAATTTTATAAAACTAGTATTTTGTAAGAGAAACTAAAAAGTATTGTTGGGTGTGAATACAGAGGAAAATCGAGATTTCTAATTGGGGGTACCGTCTGCCAGAAGAACAACAAGGATCAAGGAGGGAATTGATGCCGTTGCAAATGGGACCTTAGAGTGTTGAGAGAAGATGATTTAAAATAACGGATTTTCTGAGCCGGAAGGAATCTTAAAGATGCCTTGAGCACGCTAACCCATCTCTTCATTTGGGATCGTTCATCATGTCACTTCCCAGTAGCATAGTTCCTCCAGAGGGAGAAGGTCTGTCCAGGGCCACCCTGGGCCAGAACCAGGAAGCCCCGGCTGTCCCTATCCAGGAAGGAGTAGGTGATGCCAGCGTCAGACGTTGATGGGGCTGGAATAAGATGAGGACTGAGAAATGTCCATTGCACGGTGTTCACACGAGAGCTCTTTTGATGGAGTGATGGGGACAGAAAGCAGACTGGAGTGGTACCAGGAGAGGATGAGGAATGAGGAAACAGAGACCGTTAGTGTAGACGAGACTTCAAAAATGTTTGCAAAGTGCTGGGGAGAGAGGGAAGTAGCTGAGGGGAATACGGAATTAAGGTTGGGTTGTTTAAATAAGATGAGAAAAGCAAATATATATATAAATGCTGGTGAGTGTGAGCCAGCAACGTGGCAGAGTAATTAGGAGCTGGGCTCCCAAGCCAGTCTGCTGAGTTAAAATCCCGGTGTCCCTACTTAGTAGTTATGTGTCCCTGGGCAAGTTTGTCACCTTCCCTGTGCCTCAGTCTCTTATGTAGAAATAGATAATCATTTCTGCCTCAGAGGGCTATTGCAAGGCTTAAATGAAGTGACATCAAATTTGTAGAAGAGAGCCTGGCATATACTAGGTCCAAAGTGAGCATCAGAATTATTACACAGGTGAAAGGAAGCTGCTGAGTATCTGGAAAGGAGAAGAAATAGTTAATGGAAGAAGGGTCTCGAAAGGCAGGAAGGGGTGCAATTCAGAGCACAGCTGGAGGTACTGGGTTTGGATCAGAGGATGCTGACCCCTCTGTTGTGACAAAGGACAGGAAAAGGCAGATTCCTTCTATTACAGGTATTCATTGACCCCTTCTGATGTCCAGGCACGGTCCTGGCACTGGGCACAGCAGTCAGCAAGGCCCACAGCCGCTCCATCAGGGAGCTCACATTCCAGGGCAGAGTCAGGCCAGGCATTTAATGCTTGAGGATGGTAATAGGAAGATGAAAGGAGATGGGGGTCCCAGAGGGTGGGGAGTAGGGAGGGCCACAGTGCGGGGAATAGCGAGCAGATGCTGTTTCAAATGGAATCATTAGGGGATGCCACTCTGAGAGGGTGACATTGGAGCCAAGATTTGAAGGAGAGGGGAGTGAACCATGGGAATATCCGTAGGAAAAACATTCCAGGGAGAGGGAACAGCCAGTGCAAAGGCCCTGGGCCTGGAGTTCGCCTGGCGGGTACTGGTAGGAGTGGTGGGGATGAGGCTGGGGTTTCTCTCTTTCCTCCCCAAGCCATGCTTCCAGGAGGCGGGCTCCTCTTCTCTACAGCAGAGGGACGCCTTCAGCTTTTTTGAGTCGTCTATTCATTCAGCAATCTTCTCTAGAGCACATTTGATGAACAGATGATACGCTTCCCCCCCCCCCCCAGGGCAATACAGAGATGAGCATGACCCCAATCCTATGCTAGTTCCCCATCTGGGGGGCTGGTGGGGAAGCTGCAATGGCAGCTGAGTGAGGGAGCATCTTGCTGCAAGTGTGACAAGGACACTGAGGCAGGACAGGGGGCACTGGCTCACTGTAAAGGAGGACCTTCAGAATGGGGTGAGGGGACTCAGAAAAGGCTCTATTGCCATGAACACCTTACAGAAGACATCTTCTGTACTGACAGCTTTCACCACGTCCAGCTCAGCCAACAGCACGAATATCTATCGCCTCTGAGTTTTAAGTCCTTTGGTTTCTGGGTTTTTGAGTGGTTGGGATTTTGGAATGCAGCACTCTCTTAGAAGTCTCTGTATTATAAAGTCTGTCTCCTTTATAAGAAGGGTGTGGATTGGAGGCGTCCCACATGAATTCATAACCGCAGTTCATGGGTCTTCTCTGGTCGGTGCCTCCGTTTACTCAGAGAGTGTGTGGTTTGGACGATAAATTGCGTGGTCCCCCCTGCTTATGGGTGACAGTTTCATGATGAGAAAGGATCAGGAATGAGCGTGATGGGAAATGCTGGGCATCCCAGTGACTCGATTACTTGCGTCGTGATGTGCAGGTGCCTCTAAGTCCTTGTCTATGAAGACTGGGGAAATTGGCTGGAACATAATCAAAGCCCTAAGTTCTCACGGATGTTTTCTGAAGTTGAGCAAACGGAAGAGCCAAGAGTGAGCTGGTTCCTTTTCATCTACCGATGGAAGCTGACTAACAAGCAAACGTTTGCTGAAATCAAAGCAAAAGGTAAACCAAATCAAGCTAATATTTAATGTGAAGGAAGAGAGGATGGCAGAGAAAGGAGCTGAGCAGTCGATGAGGAGAGCTGGGGGCCCGAAGAAAAGAGATGCTCATGAGCTTGCTGACTTAACCCTCCTCGTTGGCACCAACAGCACCGGCGGAAGCCCAAGAGTGGAGATTGCAATTGTCGTGGAAACACCATGGTCAAGGCTGAAACCCACACTGGTCTCTTCAGAGCTCTGTGCCCAGCAGTGCTTCAGAATCTGTGGCTTTCAAGAGCTTCGGTACAACAATAAGACTTGCCCTATAGCAAAAGGTGTCTCAGAGACTGAGCACATCGGTAAAGCTATTAGGCCTGAGCTGATGAGCAAGAAGTTGAGTGGGTGGAATGGGAGGAGAGTAACAAACTGGTGACGGGCCTGGGTGGCACTAGGGATAAATCTAAACTTGGTGCAGTGTGCTAGAAGTTCCGCTTGCTGCCTGTAAAGCTGAAGGTGCTGAAAGGGGGCCCTCTGCACGGCCACACTGACTCCTGACTGCAATCCAGAGGTGACTGGCCAGCTCCAGCTTTCACTGTGACCCACGGAAGTTCTCACGCTCATAGTGAGCTGGCAGCACAGGAGTTCACGGTCCTGGCCGTTGGATCTCTGGCTTCAGGAAAGCTATGCTCATGGGAGCAGAAGCCTGCCTCAGCCAGAAGGATGCCATCAAGCAGAAATATGGCAAAGATGCCTCCCATGTGGAGGATGATGGGTGCTTTGCTCCTAACATCCTAGAGCAGGGGTCATCGAAGTATGGCTCACGGGTTCAATCTGGCCAGCTACCTGTGCTCGTGTGGCCCTCAAACCAAGATGATTTTGCATTTTTAAACGGTTGGGAAAAAAAATCGAAAGAAGTATAACATTAAGTGCTTTACGATATGTTATGCACTGTTCTCAATCTTTGCTTTCCTTAACTCATGGAATCTTTACAACAACTCCATGAAGTAGGTGCTATTACTCATTTCATAGGTGAGGAAACAAAAGGAAGCTTCTAGATAGGTTAAGTAGTAGTCAAAGATCACACAACTAATGATTAGTTCAGCTAGAATTCAGACCCAGGGACTCTAATCTCGGAGCTTGTGCTGTTAACTTGCTTCCCCATATGAAAGTTCTCGAACGCTGTAAGGGTAGATAGAGCATGAGTCCAAAAGACAGATTCAGGGAACACGTCCCAGTGAGTCCATCAGAGGGAAGATAGTGTTTCAGAGAAGGAAGGGAAGGCTTTGTAGAAGAATGAGGCCACCTTTCTATCATGATGACAGGAACACTAACTTTGAACCTCACTTAAGTAAAATCTTATGCCCCGAAAGGAATTACATTCTTCTCATTAGTAGACCTAGTACCAAAAAATTGTACTTGATCATTATATTATATTTTTAATTTCGCCAATAAGAAATTTGTGGAAATTTCTTTTCTCTCTTGTG